TGGGCCTCTCCTTCTTGGGAGATATTCAAGCCCCGCCTGGACAAGGTCCTGTGCAGCCTGCTGTAGGTGACCCTGCTTCGGCAGGAGGGCTGGACTGGATGACCCACAGAGGTCCCTTCCAACCATTCTGTGATTCTGTGATTCTGTGAAAAATTCCCCATTTCCTTTTGAAGTAACCACTCTTTAATATTATGAAATGCAGCAACAAAGGAGACTTTCCAAAAAGCTGTCTGTTCACCTGGCACGGAACAGAGTGCCGGAAAGGGGTATCCCACCAAACAGGGAAGAATTCTAAGGCACATCTGGCCTTTCTGCCTTTTCACTCTAGAAGTGTTTAGCTGGCATAGGTCTTCAAGCTCCAGACAGAGCAAGCAAATATAACAAGCAACTCTAATCTTCAGTAAAAATCAGACACAGATGCAGCATGCATGAAAGAGTGGTCATAGTGTAAACATACTGAGTTTTTAGTATTTTTACCAGACCCTACTCATAACTTACATGACAATAATTTTCTTTTTTATTATGCTTATACTGTGCAGTAAATTTGCATATTGCATGTAATCATGATAGACAAAAGAACTGTTACATTTCCAGAAACAATAATAGCAGCAGTAAGAATCAGTGGAAGTCAGCTGGAAGGAGAAAAAAAAAAAGGGGATTTCAGAGAAAGTAGAAATCAGAAGAGAGAGAAAATTGCTGTTCTTCAAGTAAGAAGTCTGTACATTAAACCAAATCTAACCAAAACAATGGAAAGGTTGCAAGTATGCTTTGGCAATGCAGAGGGATAGTCAACCATAGCCAAACAGTGTCAGTTCATTTTTAAAGGCAGATTTTGAATTATGTAACAGACTACTACCAGCATATTTAGAAGCCATTGCTTTAATTTTCAAGAATATTTAGGAGTTAAAAAACTTTCTTGGTATTGTTCTGATTCAGCGAGGAATTCTTGCATTCTACCTAATCATAAGCATGTGAATAGTTCCATTAAGCATAATGGGAATACTCAGGTACTCAAAGTTAGACATGTGATTAAATTCCTTGCTGATTTGGGGCCAATGAATTTAATGGACTGTTTTAAAAAACATTTTAATAGATATGTATTATTAGCCACCTGGGGAGTGAAGGTAAT